CCCCGCGCACGCGTACCATTACCTTATGGTCAGCAGGGGTATGCTGATGATGAGTCGTACGGCGAGAGGGAGCCGGGTCCAGAGGACTATGACTCGGACGACTCTTTAGATGATCAGGACCACGCACAGCCTACGGGTCCTATCCACCCTCGTCCTACTGTACAGCCAGTTCGTCCGGTAAAGCCGGTTGTACAGCATATTCGTCCGGTACATGCTGTTCGTCCCACACAGCGTGCTCCTCAACGGCAGGCTGGGGGACGTTTTGGCCCTTCTGCATCCTCATCAGGTAAATAATTTATTTATTTATTGTTGTTTAACATAAATTATCGGTACTGTTAGAAAAGTATTATCGGCCTGCTCGTCAACTACAGTATAATTATTTTGTAATTTAGGGTAAGTTGAATAAATTGTACTTAATTATAAATTCAAAAAATAATATTAATAATTATAAATTATATATGCTTATAATAATAACGTAAAATGTAAAATGTAACGTAACTAATAAAATATGTTTATTAAATATATTTTATTTAATGCATCTGCCAGCAAGTCAATATATACAGATATGTTGTATTTTAATGCAGGTACTAGCAAACGAGCTAGGACCGATGATGATGCACCTTGGATCGTTAGAGGCCCAGTGCCCGGTGGGCCCATTGATGGGAGTGTCATCCCTAGCTTTCTTGGGCACGTCGCCTCCCGCATGTGGAGTGGGAATTTCAGGGGGCCGCTGAAATGCCACAACAGACTGCGAGCGATCGAGAATCTGAAGGCGTGGCGTGAAGAGATGTCTTCCGATGCGGGAGCTCTTCTCGACCAGACCGGGCTGTCACATTTGGTCGACTCCATGCACACACACTTGGACACCCCACTCCTTTCTGCTTTTGTGGAGCGATGGCAGCCGGATACTAACTCGTTTCACATGCCTTTTGGTGAGATGAGCATCATGCTGCACGACGTCCGGGCCATTTTGGGCGTTCCAGTGGAGGGAGTCGTGGTCGCTGAGGACCCGGATTCGGACGCCTGCCATGGGCTCTGCATGTCGATACTTTCGGTCACCAAGGGCGAACTCATGAGTTCGTTCTGGCAGCGTGGTTCAGTGTCCGAAGCTGCCATTTCGGGGGCATTCAGGGGGAAAGACCGGCCGACTAGGGATGAGGCGGGTGCGTGGCTGTGGGTGATGCTGGCTACCACATAACTAAAACTAATATATAATGTAATAATTTGTAACTCCTAACACGATCACGATAATATCTAAACGTCAATTTATAACATAACTAAAACTAATATATAATGTAATAATTTCTAACTCCTAACACGATAATATCTAAACGTTCATTTTATATTATAATGAACATGTAACATAATAATTTGTAACTCCTAACACGATAAACGTCCAATTAATAGCATAATGAAGTCTAAAATGTAACATAATAATTTCTAACATAATAATATAGTCCAATTTATAACATAACTATTTCAAATAAATAACATAATAATTAAAAAAAAAAAAAAATAAAAAAAAAAAAATTGCCGGCCGGCCGGCCGAACCGGACGGACCGGTTCCGACCGGCCGTCGGTTCCGGTCATGGACGGTCCGTCCGGCCGGCCGGTCCGGACAGGGGCGGTCCGTCCGACCGTGCTTTCCGGACGGTCTTTACTCCGTCCGGTCACCGGTTCCGGACGGGCTTTAAGTCGTCCGGCCGCCGGTTCCGGACGGGCTATAAGCTGTCCGGAACCGGCGTCCGGACACGAATTTTTTAGTACCTCGGAATTTGACGACATTTCACCGTACACTTCTCTGCGATGTTTAGAAAAAATGAGAAGGGCAAAATTGTCCAAGGGGGGCGGTGACTAGTAATTTGGGGGGCGGTGAATAGTAATGCCCAAATTTTATTTATAAATGATTAACCACTAACAAGTTCTTTACTTAAATAGAAGAAGTTATTGGACAAGTATCACGCATTCTACTCCATAGAATATCTAAAATGACAAATAATATTAAAAAAAATAAAAAATAAAAACTAAGAAATGAGGATTTTCAAATCCTTACCGTATACGCTCTGAAAATATGGTTGCTTGTACACAACACTTACTAGAAAATTCGTTTCACTTTTTCTAAAAATAGTCATGGGCACCCCATGCTTGAAGTTAGAGTTACAAATTCTCTTAACTAGACTTTTATTCTTATCACGAGTTCTCATTTATGGCTAATCTTCATGGATCCTTTCTTATAGTACTAAGATATAAATAACAAATTAAAATTCTCTCTGTTTCCTAAACTACTTGGGATCAGTTGCTTTACAAATGTGAGGGCACAGATTAAAGATACATTTTCATGGTTCTCTATTCTTTCTTTTTCTTCAAGCTAGCTGCACATGTTAAATTTAATGTTTTCGTTAATTTCAATTTATACCATTGTCCTAAAAATTTCTACCAAGACAATGTACTCCACTAGTCCACTAATATATTATTGTCTAAGACTAACCTTCTTTTATTATAGCATAACCATACATTTTTATTAAAAATGTATGGCATGAGTTCATACAAGAATTTGTGTAAAACTTAACGTCTTCGCTAAAACCTTGTAAATAATTCATCATATCCACTAGATATTGTGTAACTAAAATTTATGGAACACAAACTTAGCCTATATATACTTATAGTTATAAAACTCAATTGTATTAATTAATCATATCCATATTCTATCAATTGCGTGAACATCACCACTCCACTATATAAAGCCATCTATCATACAAACTTATCACACATCAAAATTCAAACCACCACCAAGAAAAGTAGTAAAACATTTCATTTCCAACCTNTCTAAAAAAAAAAAAAGAAAAGAAAAATGAAGTCATACTCATTCTTCATGATTCTCCTCTTCCTTCTCCTCCTCATGACCACAAAATCCCAAAACCTAATCGACTCGACGTGTCGAGCCTCGTCTCGAAACGACCCGAATATCAACTATGATTTCTGCAAAACCGTACTCCAATCATCTCCCGCCACACGGTCGAGCTCAACCTTAAACGGGATCGGCAAAATCCTCATCACGCTCGTTCTCAACAACCTAACCGACACGCATTCTTACATCGAACGCCTAACGAAAGACGCGGCGAAATGGTGGGAACCGTACGTTAGGCAGTGTTTGGACGATTGTCTCGAACTTTATTCGGACGGGATTGATTATGCCGACCAAGCTATGAGTTATTACGACGCGACGAAATTCGAGGATGCCAATGTGGCAATAAGTTCGGTCATCGATGATGTCACGACTTGCGAGGATGGGTTTGAGGAGAGAAAGGGCTCGGTTTTGCCTTTGAGCGAGAGAAATAACGGCGCGTTTCGACTTTCAGCTCTTGCGCTTTCGGTTATGCGAATGGTTCGGATAGGGTATTAAGGGTGTAAGAATAGTAAGATTGTGAATACTTTTTTGTTTCCTTTTTCTCCTCTACATTTTCTTGGATTTCTTTTGATGGGATTTAGATTCTTGATGTTCAATGTTTTATGTTGTGTACATTCATAAGCCTTCGTTTGTTGAGAAGTAATTATAAGCACTTGGAGATGTTAAAGAGCTGATGATCAAATGAACCAGTAATTATAACCAGTTAAGATCGATCATTAAAAGCTTGCTTGAACTCAGACTAATCAAGATATGACAAGCCTAATAAAAAAGATTTTTCTGTTTTAGCCACAAACTGTGAAGGAGAAAGCTTGGTCCAAGCACAACTCAATTAATAAACATATCTATATAATGTACACAACTTTTAAGATTTACAACAAGTTGATGTAAGCATGGCCACGGACGGATCAATTATATATTTTCAAATAAATATACATACTTAATTTCAAGCTTAAATATCATACTCTAAAAAATAATAAAAATTAAAGTAAAATAGTATAAGTATGTATTTTTGTTAAATATGACGACTGCTACATGTGTAATTAGACCATCTCATACAATGTGATTGATTTTCAAACCAAACTCAACCATAAAATTAAAAGCCAACAAAAGAAGCTTGAAGTAATTTAAGAAGTACTGCTACAACACTCATGTATTACACTCGTAATTGACAATTTTTCACTTTTCTTCCTAAATAGAAGTTTTATGTAAATTTTTAAATTTTGTTTTATAAGATATTTTTTTTTTTTTAAGTGACACACATTACTTGTAAGATTTACTCGTCTTGCTTTATAGTAATTTGTATAAGTCGTACCATATGAAATTCATATACAAATTTAATTAATGATTATTTATTTTTATTTATAAAGGTAATAATATTCTTTTATATGTAATATGGATATAAATTGAATATGTCAGTAAATGATTAATTTTAAATATCTTATATAAAAATCCGACAACAAATAAAAGAATTTATACGTTTTACAATATAATTTAAGCTGATGATGTGTTCTATAAATTTAAAGGTCATGAATAAAGGTCCAAATATAAAATAATTTGAAATACATAGATAGAATTATGATGCACATAAAAAAATCGACACATAAGATTCCGAACATGTAGGTTTGGAAAATCTATATTTATAAATCTTGACACATAAGATTTGCATTTATTTATATATGAGGCAGATTTTAGATTTTTTAACAGAGAAATAGAGATAAAAATTATTGATGTTAAATTTTTTAAATCTAATATTATAAAAATACTTCTTTTTCCGCTGCACTTGACTTAACACAGGCAGTGTCCCTCTTCAATTCGAACTGTCCATCACCTACGCGCAAACCAACAAATTTCACCGCATCGACCTCCGGCAAATTTCCCGTTCAATTTTCCGTCGAGATCCTGATCTTCACGTCGTAAAACAGCTGCATCGGATCCTAGTTTGAAGATCCAATACCGTTTCAAATCTCAGCCGACGCGAATTTGACCGATGGCTCCGGTTTCGGCTCTTGCGAAGTACAAGCTGGTGTTCCTCGGAGATCAATCGGTCGGGAAAACGAGCATCATCACTCGCTTCATGTACGATAAATTCGACAACACTTATCAGGTGAGTATTCAGTTCGACGCCGACTTTGTTTTTAGAGCTCCTGCTGCATTGTATGTAGGGGAAAAAAGGCTTAAGATGTACGGATCTGATCCGTTTTATGCATGATTATCAGCATTTCTGTTGTTTTTATGGATTGATGTGGTTTTTTAGCTGCCTGGATTTGGTTTATGTCGTTTAATCAGCTGGATTCGTATCTTAGTTTTATCAGTGATCTTAAGATATAAAGACTGTTCTTAGTTCAGGGTAGTTGATTATCGTGCAATAACTATTGCGTGGTGCAGTCGTAGTGTAAGTTGGTTATGGTGATGATCATGTTTTATTGTTATATGTTATAACTCATAAGCTATCTCCTATGGCTCTGCGAGTGTCTGAAACTAGTTTGTGATTCCAGCTGATTGGGGTCTGGAAAATTGAAAAAATGATATTGATGAGAAGTTTGAAGAAAGCCCCTTTGTTTCGATGTATTCTTTTTCAGTTTATTATAATGACAACAAGTATGTACCAAGAATATGTGTGAAAATGGGAATGCGAAGATCACTCTCCTATTTGTCTTATACTGTGATTTTCCTTTCAGGCTACTATCGGTATTGATTTCCTTTCAAAGACTATGTACCTTGAAGATCGAACTGTACGTCTGCAGTTGTGGTAAGAAGATGTGATTCTTGCTAGATAGTTTGTTTCTGACTTGTATCATATGGTGCAGTCTTGTTGAGAGCATTCTCTCCATATAGATCCTTTGCATTTCAAATTTTTATTGATGAAGATTTCATGGAGGAAAATGACTTTGAAGTAGTGGTTGGGGCATAATTCTTCTGTTTGCTTTTTGTACACATGCTGAGCAATGGTTGCCACGTAGTTAGAACAGATTATGTATGTCTAGTTTTTACTTATGTCCAGACATAGAATTGTTTTCTGTTTGGTAGAGCACCAAATATCTGTTCATTTTTTCGTTGAAGTCAGTTTAGTCTCATGGTCCCTGGACTGGTTTTGCACCAGACACAAATTTGTTTCTTGTGCTAGTTTGTGATGTTGACTTGCATATAGTCATCTTTCCCATTTGGTATTGTGTTTTGACTGGCAGGTTATCTATTCTTCATTTTACTGGACGAGAACCAGTTTCTCTTTTCTTCAGTTTCACAACTTCCGTGTTTTTTCAGAAGATATAATTTGTATTTTCTTGTATGTTAAGGGATACTGCTGGGCAAGAAAGATTTAGGAGTCTCATCCCAAGCTATATAAGGGACTCCTCTGTTGCAGTCATCGTATTTGATGTTGCAAGTATGGGGTTTTCTGTTCTTAATACGTATCCAGTTCGCTTAAATTTTGTTTCTGAACCTTTCCGCATGCCTCTGACTTGATCCTTTTGCACAATAAAATTACTGATGATTAGGTCGACAATCTTTTCTCAACACATCAAAATGGATTGAGGAGGTCCGTAATGAGAGAGGAAGTGATGTTATCATTGTACTAGTTGGAAACAAAACTGATTTGGTGGATAAAAGGTATGGATTTTTCTGTTTCATGCTTTTGTTTGTGATTTTCCTTGAAATAGATCCCATTTAAGTAACTATCCANAAAAAAAAAAAAAAAAAAAAAAAAATCTGTTTCTGATTATTCTGGTCTTGCTTGAGATCTTTGTTCCAAACTTATTGATGTGTATCCGACCAGTCATACTGGTTATAATAACATGAGAATAGTGTTAGTAAAACATTTTTTAACCAAAATGTTGCAGGACATTTTTCTTCAGATGTAGACAAATAATTCTTTCTTTTGTAGCTTTAACTCTAATCTGCTTCAGAAGGTTGTACAGCTTGTTGGAATTTAATAAGAGTTTCTACTTTTGTGATGCCTGAGCCTAATCCGTAGTTTGTGACATTCTGCATATAAGATACGATTTTTGAGACTTTATTTGTAAGATGATTATTGCCTCATACATCCAACAATTTTTATATCCAGGCAAGTTTCAATAGAAGAAGGAGAAAAAAAAGCTCATGACGTTAATGTCATGTTCATTGAAACTAGTGCCAAAGCTGGCTTCAATATAAAGGTAGCAAAACTCAGCCATTTCTCTTCCGGTATTTAGTTTGTGAAAATATTCACTCCCCCAACTTCTGGAATCACTTACATTTGAAATGGAGTAGAACTAAAATATAGTACATCATTAATGTTTATACTTTATACTTGTACTTGTGTCTGGTTTTCACCTAGATTATCCTTGCCTTGGCATTGACCACCACTATATGAATTTCCTATGAGGTTAGAGGTATTTGTAAAATAAGAATCCACACACACACACACACACACACACACACACAGAGGCTGACTTTAAACATTACAAAACCACCCTTGACCCTTGTGGTTTGAACTCCATCTTATATATCTTGGCCCAACTGTGAACTGACTCGACTGGATTTGACATTTACATCTGCTACTTTTTCAAAATATTAGAAAATATCCAACTGTTCGCGCAGATTTGTAGAAAAGCCCAAGGGAAATCAGAGGGGATTACTTGTACCAATTAGACGGATGATAATATAATTGATAACGACAACAAATACTAAAAAGGATACCACCACAAAAGTGATGTGAATAATCTTTTTTTGCATTAACAATAATTTGGCCAAAACCTCAAGGGATATTATGATTTTGCAATTATCCATGAAACATTCCAACAATTAAAGCTTTTGCAGAGGCCCTTGATGTGTAAAAATATTATCTTGTTTCAGGCCTTATTCAGAAAAATTGCTGCAGCATTGCCTGGAATGGAGACCCTATCATCCGCAAAGCAAGAGGATATGGTCGATGTCAACCTCAAGTCGAGCAACCCAAACTCGTCTCAATCGCAACAGTCGGGAGGGTGCGCCTGCTGATATAATGCGAAAATTCCCAAAAGAGAAAAAAGATAACGAAAACGAAAATGAAACTAAAACTTCCTTTCGTGTGTTGGAACATTTCAATTGGACCATAAAAAACATTTATAAAGTTCATGTGCTGGGAAACTAAAATGGTGTCAAATTTTAGGGTGTGATTTCGTAGTTCTCTAAGTTCTGTTTGTGAGTTCATATCTTGTACCGTTTATTGGTGTTTGAGGCTATAGTTTTCCTACTTGAAGGATTATTTCAGCAGGAGACAGTAATGGATAATCAAACCATCTTTGGAATTTTACTTTTTCTTTTTTNTTTCTTTCAACCCGGTCACTTTGGAGATTTGATTTGGAAAGCCATGTTTGCAGATTTCAAGAGCCTGAAGTTATGGGAGGTGGTTTTTCTTAAGTATATCTTTTTAGGTGAGTTGATGTGGCAATCCTGTTTGTATTTTATCCTTTGCAGAGTTGGACATTGAAATGAGTTTAATATTTCCAGTTACATGCAAAACAAATAAAATAAAATAAAATAAAACACAAATTATTGTATGAGGCAGCTTAATTCTTAGGTGGTTTAACTCTTCATACTTTTTTTTTTATCAAACAGAAATGCATATGTTGTTTATCTTATAAAATGCTATACTTTTGATTGTCTATTTACATCTACATTGAGGGCTTATTTGTACCTATTTCCTACATTTGTGTTAGAGGTGTTAGATTAACACACATCCATACAAGTTTGTGTATGTGTGTGCGTCTGTGATATGAAGAATCTGACTTTGGTGTGGGCTGGTAGGATCGAATTTTAGAGGATCTTTTGCTATTGAAACTTAAATACATGCTATATTTTCATACAATTTTTTATTCAATCGGATGTTTTAATTCAACAAATAATTAATCTAAAAAATAAGAATTAACCTAAAAAGAAGGTGTACTAACTCAACATGAATAACAAAACTCATACACGATAATGAGTTCCAAGTTGGGTCATTTCTCTTTCGTATACTATGCAGTATGCATAACTAGAGAATATTTTGATTATAACATTTTTATTTGAGTAAGGCGACATCTATAATTTTCCCCACATTTGACAAATAATTGAATAAGACAATCCTACTATGCTAATGTAACCAGGGTGGTCAAATTAATAAGCAATCACTAAACCAAGAAAATATAAAGCAGTTTCAAGTATCTAATTAATAAAAGTCAAAGGAGATTCCACAAAATTGTACATAAATTAAGGTTAAAAAATTTACACATTTACAAGTTTTATAATAAATTGAATCTCTGCATAAGTTAAATGGTCAAATTCTGTTTATAATTTCCATTATTATTATATTGTGTACTAGCAGCATTTAATAGTTTGTTGAACTAATCAACTTCTGCCTTCTGGAGCTGAATGGAATTTGAGTGAATTATTAGGAGTCACATGGATATATGATTCCTATTGACATTTTCTACTCTCAACAAAATATAATAACCACAAAATCTTGGTCTGAGTAAACTTTTTAATGGTTAGATAAGTCAGACCTATTATATTTTTTTAGCAAAAATAATACTTAAATATCAAATATAATTTTGTTTACGCTGTTTTTATAATATTACATTTTTTAATGAAAGTATGTATATTTGTGAAAAAACCATCACACTTTTTGAAATGCTTACTAATAAATATCATACTTTTATTTATGTTATTTTTTAAGTATTCTATTTTTTTAATAAAAATATGTATTTTTTCAAAAGTATGTTGACCTAATAATCAATTTGCCGTTACAAAGATCTACGGAAATATAAATAGTTTCCACCAAATTTGGTTAACTAGAGAATTCAATAAACCGTGTTCTTTTCCATCAATTTTAGTTGTCATATTCAAGAGTTAATATGCTAATTGACATTTCCCATTTAGTTGCTGACTTTTGCTTATTTTGAACCCTTTCTCATGCATTACTTTTCTATGACTTTGTTCTTCGAGTTAATTAAAATCCTCTGGATCTTTCTTTGATTTTATAGTAGTCTTGTTCTTCCATACAAAAATCTGAACCCATTTTGCTTTTAATGTTGCCTGTGAATAAAGAATAAAACTAAATCATAAAGAATACTAAGAGATAAATTCCTTTTTAAAAAAGCTTTAATCCTTCTAATTTAATAAAAAATCAACATTATCATAATTAGCTATGAACATGAGACAAAACAGAAGCTAAGCTAAAAATTAAGAGTAACTTTAAAGGAATCCATATATAAATTAGTTCATGCAAGAAGTGGAGGATCATTGCCTTTTTTTTCTTTTTTTCCATTTCTGCATAAACAATTAGAATCGAAATTGGCACGAATTAATAAGTCACGAGCACTCATGACTTTGAACCTAGTTCGAGAATGGAATTTGCAAATTAAATCTGTTTTAATATAAAAGAGTACAGTCAACTCACAATGCTTTGTCATTTATGTATTTCTCTTTCTTTCTCTTAATTCATTTTCTTTTTTTCACTTCGAGAAAATTATCAAATTTCAACGAAAAATTTTAATGGCAATGCATTATGGTAAAAAAAAAAAAATTAACTATAATTTCAAGTGATGTTCTAATGTTATAGTTTTCATTAAAAATTTCATACAAAAATTTCAGCAAAAATGTTCTGTTGGAATCGATTTTTCGTCGGAATTGCAGTTAAATTTTGAAGATTTCAACGATAGTTTTTTCAACACCAAAAATCTTCTACTTAAGAAAGTGCCTTACTAACATGTACCTCTTTGACGGTAGCAAAAGTAGCTACTAACTTTACTAACTGCAGCAGCTAATACTCAGTCACTTATAAAATCAAACAATCATTACCCAAAATATAGCAACATTAATTTAGTCATTTGAGTTTGCTAGGTTATGTTTAGCCGCCAACAAATGCATTTGAGAAACCTCTTTGGGATAGTTGTGTTCTGCAGATTAGATTGATGCCAACACTTTTATAATAATAGTTTATATTAGTATTCAAAAATTATATAAATAATAAATATTTAGATACAAAGCCTTCGAAAAGAGTTTTGAGGATGAGATTAATAACTGAAAAAAAAAAATTATGTCTTTTGGATTCATTTGGATTTGTTAATTTGTTGCACTAAACTTCAATTGTCAAAATCATTAATGAGTAGGACATAAACACCTTGATCGTTTTGGAACTGCTTGTTATTATGGTCGATTATATATCTCATAATTAAAAAAGTATTTTTCGAAACAAAAAAGCTGCCAACTTCTGTTGTTTTTGACCAATTGGACAAAATATTTTTCGTTCTCAAGTCTTTTCCCGATAAAAGCATCACTCGCTTGTGTTTTTTCTCTTGGTTTTTGCTCTTTTCAATGAAGTAAAACAAATAATAACAATAATAATATTAATTATTTTATATTTTATTATTTAATACAATTATTATTGTATATTGGTTTCGAGTCATTCGACCTTCAAGTATCAAGTTGTTATGACGAACTCCTTAAGAGTTAAGAGCATCTCCAGCGCTACGTCAAAATGAGTTTTTTGCGCTGGAGTAGCGAGATATTCTCGTCCAATGCTACGACAGAATCCTACGCTAAAAGAGAGATATGAATAATGTTGCGCCATATATAGCGGAACGATGTAGCAATACGCTACAATTTATTTATTTATTTATTTTTAGGTATTTTTATGTAATATTATTGATAAATGTAGTGTTTATGCTAAATAACTTTGTACAATAATTTTTTATACTAAATAATTTTGTGCTTTTTTTATTGATGTACTATAATTTTATACAAAAATATTTTTTTATCATTTTGGGTAATAAACATTTATATAAGATTAAATATTTATATATATACCAATTTATTTAAAATAAAAATACATAAAATATATTTTTATTATTTGGGTAATAAAAAATCTATATAAAATTAAATATACATACATATACCAAGTCATTTGAAATAACAATAAATAGAAAATATTTTTTATTATGTAGGTAATAAACATTTCTATAAGATTAAATATACATAAATATATATCAATTTATTTGGAATAAAAATGAATAAAAAATATATATTTGATGTAGAGTAAAATGTAGAGATAAGAGTTGGAGACGAATGTTTCACTCTACTCTAGAGTAGAGTAAAGTTCGTGCTAGAGTAGAGATAAGACTGGAGATGACCTCACTAATGCAGGTGGTATTTATCACTCGGAGGCGATCGTTCTGTTTTTGAGGTATATGCTGATATTAGGGATCATCTAGCATTTTTGGATTGTGGCTCTATATTGAAGGTGAATCCAACAAATGAAATGAGCTAGAGTCAAAGTTTTGTGGTAATAGAAAATGCGATAAAAAAATGACATAAATAAGGCAAAATAAATAATACGATATATAATATTTATTTTTATTTTGAATAAGTTCAAAATGAAATCTTCTACAATATCTTTAATATTTTGTATATCTTTAATATTTTATAAATTTCAGTATTATTATCGATTTTGATGACTTGAAATGTATTGTTATCAATACAAAGATATCTATATACCCACTGCAAAGTGCAAACACATTAACTCACATATGTAAAGATCTCATGATTTTTCAGTCACATAATTGTCGTATGACGTATGATACTTCTACAATATTCACAAGTGCACGTATTAAATTGTACTTGACGTGGATAGGAGAACGATAATATTTCTCAATATGTTGGATCGAAAATTATATTATAATTTTATTTCTTAGTTGATTTCATGGTTGACACGACTTTTCATTGGTAATAATTCTGTAACATAAAAATTGTTGTAGTAGCATGCCATTTTCTGATAGATTTATTTAAAGATACAACGGATAAATAAGACATTGTAAAAAAAAAAACAAAAAAAAAACTTTAATATGAGAGAAAAAGAAAAAAAACCTAATTAATAACAACTTCATTTACGAATGATTTTTATAAGATTATAATAGTTTTAAAACTCAGGTCGGTGATTGACCCGGATTGAACTACGAGTCACTGATCCAACCGCTAGTTAGCGGGCTACTTGTTGAATCGAGTAATTAGTTTTTATGAAATTTTTAATTATATTTATATTATTATTACCTTATAACAATACATAAAATAAAAAAATATATTTATAGCCTAAAGTCTTAGTAATATTGTATTTTATCATAAATATTAATCACATAAATAAATATATATACATAATATTAATTTTAGAATAAAAAAGGTAAAAAAAAAAAATAATGGTCAGGTCAACTTTGACCCGTCCGGGTTTTGACTGGGTCCAAAGAACCCTCCCAGATTGGTCTGGCCCTGGGACGACCCACCGGTAGGGCTGAGCATGGGACC